CATCAATCTTCTCTCCTCCCTTTTTTATTTACTTTTTAATATCCTCTCCCTCTTTTCCTCTTCCTCTTGTCCTCCTTTCTCTGTCTTTCCCCCTTCCCCTTTCGTCCCCTCACCCTCTCCCCTTTTACTCCCCCTTCCCCCTCATCAATCCTACACTCTACCCCTCCCCCTCCCCCCTTTCCCCCTCCCCATACCCTTCCCCCTTCCCCCCTCCCCATACCTTCTACCCTACCCCCACCCATTCAATCCCTCCCTCACCACCTATTTTTACGCCACACTCAACTCCCATCCATTTCAACCCCGCCCCACGCAGTCCACCCCCCCCCTCCCCTCCCTGTTCCCACCATTCCATTCCCCCACATTCCACCCCCACCCCCCCTTATCCCGTGAACACCGTGCTTCATCAAGTAAGAAAAAAAAAACACAATCCTGACAAATCCTATTTTCTGGGGATAAATAAACTGCTTTTATTTCTTCCTACCTTCCTCTTCCTCCCACCCACTCTTCCCCCTAGGTCCCGCACCTACGCCCACACCCACACCCACATTCACATCGACATCCACACCAACTAACCTTCACATCCACATCCACATCGACATCCATCTCTCATCCACTACCTTGTTAACAAACCCCACACCCACACCCCAAACACCCCAACCCCACCCCACACCCCACACCCACCCCTACCCACACCCTCACCCCCACCCCCCCCGCCCACACCCCACACCCCCACCCACACCCACACCCACACCCCCGCACGCCATCTCCTCGCCCGCACGCGCCGGCCGGGAGCGGGCAAACACATTAACGGCCACGTCGGCTGTAATCACGGAAATTACTTTGGGAAAAAGGGAGGAGGAGGAGAAGGGGGAAAAAGAAGTAGAAGGGGGGAGGAAGGGGAGAGGAGAAAGGGGGGGAAGAAGTAGAAGGGGGGAGGAGGGTGGGAGGTGAAGGGGAGAAAAGAAGTACAAGGGAGGAGGAGGAGAAGAGGGGAGATGGAAGTAGAAAGGAGAAGAGGGGAAAAGAAGTAAAAGAGAGAAGGGGGAAGAAAGAAGTAGAATGGGGGAGAAGGGGGAAAGAAATAGATGTAAGAAGAAAAAGAGTGGAAGAGGAGGTGGGAGGAGACGGGAGGTGGAAGGAAGGGGAAGAGGGAAGAAAAGGACAGAAAGGAGGAGACGGAAGATGGGAAGAGAACGGGGAGAGATGGGAGGATGGGGGAAGAAGGGAGGAATGGGAGAAGGGAGAAGACGGGAGCTGGAGGTAAGGGGTGATGAATAGGGAGAGATGGGAGGAAGGAGGAGGAAGAGGAAGGAAGAGGAAGAGGCAGGAGGAGGAGGAGGAAGGAGGAAAGAAGGTATGAAGAGGAGATAGGATGATGGGGAAAGAGAAAACTGAGAGAAATAGGGGGGGGAGGAGAAGGAGAAAAGGAGGAAGAAAGAGATGAAGGAAGAAGGAACGAGAACGAGGGGAGGGAAGAAAAAAAAGACGGAAGGGAGCAAGGAGAGAATAATGAAATAGGGGGAAGGGAAGGGAGGGGGAGGGAGGGAGAAGGGGGAGGGAGAAGAGGGAGGAGGAGGAGGGGGAGGGAGAAGGGGGAGGGGGAAGGAGGGGAAAGGGGGAGCCGACCAAAATAGGTTCGAGTTGCACCGCGGGTCTCGGGTCGCTGTCAACCCGAGAGGCGCGTCGAAAAAGCGCTGAAGGACGACGGTAGGGGATGGGGGGGAGGAAGGCGGAGGAGGAGGAGGAGGAGGAGGAGGAGGAGGAGGAGGAGGAGGAGGAGGAGGAGGAGGAGGAGGAGGAGGAGGAGGAGGAGGAGGTGGTGGTGGAGGAGGAGGAAGAAGGAAGGAGGGAGGAGGAGGAAGAAAGAAGGAGGAAGGAAGAAAGAAGGCGGCGTATGGAGGAGGACGGACGATATGGCTAGGTGGAAAGAGCGAATAGGGAAAGGAGGAGGGGGAAGGAGAATGAAGAAAGGAGGAGGGAGGAGAAAAAGGGAGGAAGGGAAGGGGGGAGGGGGAGGGAAGGGAGGGGGGAGGGGGCAAAGAAGCGCGATGAGAGGATAGAGAGGGAAGGAGAGCGAGAGAAAGGAAAGGAGAGAGGAGAGGAGAGGAGAGGAGAGGAGAGGAGAGGAGAGGAGAGGAGAGGAGAGGAGAGGAGAGGAGAGGAGAGGAGAGGAGAGGAGAGGAGAGGAGAGGAGAGGAGAGGAGAGGAGAGGAGAGGAGAGGAAAGGAGAGAGGAGAGGAGAGGAGAGGAGAGGAGAGGAGAGGAGAGGAGAGAAGAGAGGGGGAGGGGGGGACAATACTGCAGTGGTATGACGGGCTCGCACGCGCACACGCAAAAAAGGGAGGAGAGCAGCGCCGGTGAGTGAAGTGGAATTCGCGTGAACAAGATCAAAAGAGGGAGGGACGGAAGGAGGGAGAGGGGGAGAGGGAGAGAAGAAGAAAGGAAGAGGGAGGGAGGGGGGGGAGGGAGGGAGGGAGGAAGAGAGGGGGAGGAAGAGAGGGAGAGAAAGAGTGCGCGAGAAAGAGAGAAAGAGAGGAAAGAGAGAAAGAGAGAGAGAGAGAGAGAGAGAGAGAGAGAGAGAGAGAGAGAGAGAGAGAGAGAGAGAGAGAGAGAGAGAGAGAGAGAGAGAGAGAGAGAGAGAGAGAGACAGAAACAGAGAGAGACAGAAACAGAGAGAGACAGAGAGAGACAGAGAGAGAGAAAGAGAGAGAGAGAGATTAATAATACTAATAACACCACAAACCAAAACCGACTCAGGGGAGAAAATAAACCGTTACATCACACGCGCAAAATATATAAGAAAAACATGAAAAGGAAAAATACAAAGGAAGAAAAATTACAGAAAATGAGACAACGAAAATAAAATAAATGTGAAGTGTGCGTGTGCGGAAGAAACGGGTTAAGAAGGAAGACGATAAAAATGACGAAGAGAAAAGGGGAAGAAAAAGGGAAAAGGAGGAAAAGGGAAAAGGAGGAAAAGGGAAAAGGAGGGATATGAAAGAAGAGTAAAGGGGAATGGAGGAAAATGAAAAAAGGAGAGAAAGGAGGAAGAGAAAGGGGGAAGAGAAGAATGAGACTATAAAACAATAAAAGGGAAAGAGGGAGAGGGAGAGGGAGAGGAGAGGGAGAGGGAGAGGGAGAGGGAGAGGGAGAGGGAGAGGGAGAGGGAGAAGGAAGAGGGAGAGGGACGGAAAGGTAGAGAGAAAGGTAGAGAGAAAGGGAGGGAGGGGGGGAAGGATTGTACAGTAATACAGAAAGGAAAGAGGGGAAAGGAGAGGGGAAAATAAATCACACAACCAACCATTACCTCTACAAAAAGACCAAAAAGGGGGGTGAGGGGGGGAGGTAAACAGAGGGGAGAACGAAAAGCAGTAAGTAGGGTTCAATTGAAATAAATATATGGGAAGTGAAGCGATAAAATAAATGGGCAAGAGTTGTGGGAAAAGAGGGGAAGAGAGAGAGAGGAAAAGAGAAAACAGAGAAAACAAGAGAAAAGAGGGAAGATAGGGGAAGAGAGTAAAAAGAGGGAAAGAGGGGAAGAGAGAGAGAGGAAGAGAGAGAATACCGAGAAAAAAGAGGGAAGATAGGGGAAGAGAGAAAAGAGGGGAAGAGAGAGAAAGAGGGGAAGAGGGGAAGAGAGAGAGAGGAAAAGAGAGAAAACCGAGAAAAAAGAGGGAAGATAGGGGAAGAGAGAAAGAGGGGAAGAGAGAGAGGAAAAGGGAGAAAAGAGGGAAGAGAAGAGGAAAGAAGGAAAAGAGAAGGAAAAGGAGGAAGAGAGAGAGAAAAAAAACAGAAAAGTCGAGAACACTAAATGAAAAAAATCAGGAATGAGAGAGAATCTACAAGAAATGTAGAATGAGACTTGAGGAAAAACAATAATAAATACATAAATAAGTAAAATTAAGATGGAATAGCTGACACAGAGTAAGAGCTGAATAAAACGAAATAAGACTAAATGAGGGAAAACTAAGACTGACAGACAGGAGGGAGAGGTGAGGAGAGAAGGAAGGAAAAAGCGAGAGAGGGTGGAAAGGAGGGAGGGAGGGAAGGAGGGAGGGAGGGAGGGAGGGAGGGAGGGAGGGAGGGAGGGAGGGAGGGAGGGGGAGAGAGAGAGAGAGAGAGAGAGAGAGAGAGAGAGAGAGAGAGAGAGAGAGAGAGAGAGAGAGAGAGAGAGAGAGAGAGAGAGAGAGAGAGAGAGAGAGGAAGAGAGGAAGAGAGGAAGAGAGGAAGAGAGGAAGAGAGGAAGAGAGGAAGAGAAGAGAAGAGAAGAGAAGAAAGGAAAGAGAAAAGGAGAGAGAAAAGGAGAGAGGAAAGAAGAGGAATGAAAGAAAGAAAGAAAGAAAGAAACATGAATAAAATAGAAAACACAAAACAGAAAAGAGAAAAGAGAAAATCCGAGACGGGAGACGCCAGAAACGCGAGCGGGCGACGGAGAAAGAAAGAGCAGAGAGAGAGAGAGAGAAGACAGCCGGGGAGAGAAAGAAGAAGAGGTGGGGGGGGGGCGACCACGGGGTGCCTGCGTGCCTTTAAATCACCCTCGCTCTCGCACGCCCCCTTTTTTCGGTCCTCCTGACGTCTTCGCGCCCTTAATGCGGCCTGACACATGAGCGGCGGCCCTGCGCGTTGCCCCCGCCGGCCCTCTCCCGCACGGCGCCCTCACTGCGGCGTCGCATGCGTCGTCGTATGCGTCGGCCATGGCTCCACTCTCACTCCACGGGCAACCCAGTCGCCATCTCGTTCCATTCACCCTCCACTCTCCACTCTCGTCGACGCACTCTCCATTCGACACTTATATCTCTCTATCTATATCTTTCCATCTCTATCTCTCTATCTTTATCTATCTCTACCTAAATATCCCTCTCTTTCTTTCTTTCTCTCTCTCTTTCTTTCTTTCTCTCTCACTTTCTTTCTTTTTTTTTCTCTCTCTCCCTCTCTCTATCTCAATAACAAAAACAACCAACCAAACACCAAACTCAAAAGGCAAAGCGCCTGGCACTCACTCTCGAAGTCCAGGAAGACGTCGTACTTCTGGTGCGAGCAGCAGCTGTTGCCGGCCTCGTCCCGCGCAAGCAGCCTCAGCAGGTTCCCCATCCTGCATCACCTGCAAGGGCGCGAAGGGAAGGGGTTAAATGCCGTCCTACGTTAAAGGGAATAAAGAAATCTGTCATCAAATAACTAATGAATCATTAAATAAAATAATAAATTGATTAAATGCATATATAAGTACATCATGAATTGAATAAGTAAATAGATAAATAAGTAAATAAACAAGTGAACAATTGAACAAATAAACAAGTAAATAAATAAATAAATAAACAATTCAATAAATAAATCAATTAATTAATTCATTCATTCATTAATAAGCAATAAAATAAATAAATAAACAATCAAGTAAATAATCAATAAAATAAACAAACATGTGAATTAACTAATCAATATTCATTCACTCGTTCATTAATTCGTCAATCAAACAACTTCACAAATAAATTAGAAAAAAAAGGTCAGTTACGAAAATGGCGAAGATGATGTGGCTTTAAGTAATCATTTAAATAAATCAATAAATCAACTGAAACAATTAAAAAGGGGCAGAATAAAGCTCAGTTAGAAATAGGCGAAGGTGGAGTGATTTATATACATGACAGAGAAAAAGAAAGAGAGATTCTCTTTCATATGAATATCTATCTATCTGTCCATAATGTATTTATGTCTATATATATTTATTTATATCTATCTATCGAGGCTATCTACCTATGTATCTATCGAGGCTATCTATCTACCTATCTACCTCTATCGATATATCAATGTCTATCTATTTATCTATCCATCATTTTGTCTATCTATCTATCTGTCTATCTACCTACCCATCTATCTACCTACCTACTTATCTATCTATCTGTACACCTGTGTATTCATATGCAATCAAGCACACAAAAAACGCACAGATTATGTACAACACGCATACGTACCCTCGTGTACACACAAACTCACACGCACACGCACATGCACACGCACACGCATACGCACACACACACACACACACACACGCAAACGCACACGCACACACACACATATATACAAAACTAAAATACCCATAATTATATGCAAATGAAGAATATTCAACAATATGAAGAAGAAAAAGAAAAGAAAAAAAAAATGAATAAAAGAACCATTAACTTTTTGTTTCCTTTATTTTTTCTTATGACGGACAGCATGGCACATCTTCGTCATAAAAATAAAACAAGTATTTTCCAAAAGCTACATGCGTATAAAGAATGCAGAGGGGGAGAGAGGAGAAGAAGAGGGTAAGGAAGAATGGGAAGAGGAGAAAGAAGAAGAGGAGCAGGATAAGGAGGATAAGGAGGAGGAGGAGGAGGAGGAGCAAGATAAGGAGGATAAGGAGGAGGAGGAGGAGGAGGAGCAAGATAAGGAGGATAAGGAGGAGGAGGAGGAGGAGGAGGAGGAGGAGGAGGAGGAGGAGGAGGAGGAGGAGGAGGAGGAGGAGGAGGAGGAGGAGGAGGAGGAGAAGAGGGTAAGGAAGATATATATATATATATATATATATATATATATATATATATATATATATATATATATATATATATATATAAAACAAGGACAAAATTTAAAAGCAGAAGAATGAGAAAATAAAATAAAAAGCAAAACAAGAGACGTAAATACGCAGCGTCCCCTGCGGACCTTCCTGCCGCTCGCAAAACGCGTGCGAAAGGCGAGGCGGGAAAAATGACAAGAGAAAAGAGAAGAAAAAAAAAATAAAAAAGAAAAAAATGGCAAGGGAAAGGAGAAGAAGAAAAAGAAAGAAGAAAAAAATGGCAAGGGAAAGGCGAAAGAAGAAAAAAATAAGTGAGAAAAATATAAAAAAGGAAAAAAAAAGACAAAGTGGAAGAAAAAATTAATAAAAATGGGAAAAAATATAAAGGAAAAAAGACCAAATAGTAAAAAAGGAAGAAAAACTGGAAGAAAAGTGGAATTAAAAAAAAAAAACGCAACGAGAGTGGAGGAAAGACAAGGACAAACTAGGGAAAAAAATATAAGAAGGGACAGAAGAGACAGGTAAAAAGAGAGAAAAGATAGCAAGGGATAAATAAAGGCAAAACACAGATTGAAATAAAAAGAGCGATTAGAAATAAAGAAGGAAAGGAAAGACAAGAAAGAGAGAAGGAGAAGGAGAGGGTGAGGGAGGGAGAGGGAGAGGGAGGGAAGGAGAAGGAGAGAGAGATAGAGAGAGAGAGAGAGAGAGAGAGGGAGAGGGAGAGGGAGAGGGAGAGGGAGAGAGAGAGAGAGAGAGAGAGAGAGAGAGAGAGAGAGAGAGAGAGAGAGAGAGAGAGAGAGAGAGAGAGAGAGAGGGAGAGGGAGAGGGAGAGGGAGAGGGAGAGGGAGAGGGAGAGGGAGAGAGAGAGGGAGAGAGAGAGAGAGAGAGAGAGAGAGAGAGAGAGAGAGAGAGAGAGAGGAGAGGGAGAGGGAGAGGGAGAGGGAGAGGGAGAGGGAGAGGGAGAGGGAGAGGGAGAGGGAGAGGGAGAGGGAGAGAGAGATAATGATGAGTAATTCAGGTAAAGCGGCAGAATATATTCGATTAGCCAACTGATAAACGGTAATATATAACAGAAAAACAATAACGGCACACAGATTAACAGATTACCAAGACGTGAGAAGACGAGTTTTTTTCTTTTCTTTTCTTTTACCCTTTCCCTTTCTTTATTGTTCTCTTTATCATTCTCGTCTATCATTCCGAACAAAACTCCGGTTACTCTGGTGCATACTTAATCTAAACGCGTTTTGTGATGTTATTAATTCCTCTATAAAGTTTAAAATTATTATCATTATCATTATCATTATCATTATCATTATCTTTACCATTATCATTATTATTACTATTATCATTATCATCATTATTTCTTTTATTTTATTTCTTTTTTTTTTACAATTTTCTATCCTGCTCCCGTGCGTCTTCTCTTTCTTCACATTTTCCTTCTTCCTGTTCTTGACTCATTGCCGTTTCTTCCCGCCTTCCTCTTTCTCCCCTTCCGCCTTTTTTCTTTCCCTCGCTCTTAAACCATTTCCATCCCTCCTTCCCCTCTCCTTTACCCACCTTCTCTCCCTCTTCCCCTTCCCCCTCCTCCTCTTCCTCCTCTTCTTCTTCCTCTTCCTCTTCCTCCTCCTCCTCCTCCTCCTCCTCCTCCTCCTCCTCCTCCTCCTCCTCCTCCTCCTCCTCCTCCTCCTCCTCCTCCTCCTCCTCCTCTCCCCTCCCTTCCCCCTCCTCCTCCTCTCCCCTCCCTTCCCCCTCCTCTTCCCCCACCCGTCCCCTTCCCCCTCCTCTTCCCCCACCCGTCCCCTTCCCCCTCCTCTTCCCCCACCCGTCCCCTTCCCCCTCCTCTTCCCCCACCCCTCCCCTCCCCCTCCTCTTCCTCCTCCCCTCCCCTCCCCCTCCTCTTCCCCCTCCCCGGGAACCGAACGCGACGGCAAGGAGCCAAACCTACCCTTCCCCCTTTCCCACGTCCCCTCTCCCCTCTCCCTCCCCCTTCGCCCGCGCCGCCCATCTTGTGCTTGCGGGCGGCAGGGACGAAGGGGCGCATGCCATCAGGGTACGAGACTTTTTTTTTTTTTTTTTTTTTTTTTTTTTTTAAGGGTTTTCCCCTCTTCATTTCCCCTTCTCTAAATGTGTCACTGAGTCTGGGGCTGTTTGTCTGGGATTGCTGTGCGTTTGTTAGTGTGTGAGAGTGTGTTGTGTGTTTTCCCCTCTCTCTCTTTCCCCCCCTTCTCTCTCCCTCTCCTTCCTCCTTCCTCCTCCCTCCCTCTCTCCCTCTCCTTCCCACTCTCCCTCTCTCCTTCCCTCCCTCCCTCCTCCCTTCCTTCTTTCTCTCCCTCCTTTATTTTTTTCTGTCTCTTCCTCCTCTAACTCCCGAGAGACTTTTGGGGGGGCAAAAACGCCCTCAAAAAGAGGGGGGAGGGGGTGGAACGTCTTCCTTTATGTGTTGCTCACCCTCACTCTTACTACTTTATCCATTTTCCCTCAACTCACTCTCACTCTCACACTCACTCTCACTCTCACTCTTACTCACTCTCACTTTCACACTCACTCTTCCGCTGCGCTTGGTACAGAGCGAGTGTGCGCCCGTGTGCCCGCGCGGCGTCCGTCCCCTGAGCCCGCTGTCCAGATCAGGTGACCGGCGTTCATTAACTCCGACACAACACGCGCGGATAATTGGGTCACGGGATCAAACGCGGCGGCGTTTGGTCGGGGTGGTAGCGATCAGCGGTGACAGGTTGCGGTGGGCGGTGGTAGCGGTAGTGGTAGCGGTAGTGGCGGTGGTGGTGGGCGGTGGTGGTGGGCGGTGGGCGATGGTTGGTGGCGGTAGCGACGGTGATATGTGGCGGTGAGAGGTGGTAGTGGTAGCACCGTGGTAGCGACGGTGATATGCGGCGACACGCGGGAGGGGTAGCGGCAGCAGTGAGAGCGACGGCGATCTGTGGCGACAGTGGTAGCGGCGACGTTGATCGGTGGCGGTAGTGGGTAGCAGTGGTCGCAACTGTGAACTGCGGCGGCGGTAACGTGGGCAGCCGTCACTGAGTCATGACTTGCAAGTAAATGCTTCCCGGGGGAGAGGGGGAAGGGGGTGGGGGAGAGAGCGCAGGGGCAGAGGAAATGAGGAAGAATGAGGAAGGGAGAAAGAGGGGGAGAGAGAAAGAGCGGGAGGAGAGGAAGGGAGTAAAACAGGGAGGAAGGGAGGGGGGGAAAGGAAGGAAGGAATTATGGATAGATGGATGAAAGAAAGGAAGGACAGAAGGGAGTGGGGAGGAAAAGGAAGACCAAGAAAGTGAGCGAAGCCAACGAAAGGAAGTTTAGGGTACGAACTTCCTAAAAATAATAATAATAATAATAATAATAATAATAATAATAATAATAATAATAAATAAATGAATAAATAAAAATAAACAAATATAAATCCACAAGTATAAACGTGTATAAAAATAAATAAATAAATAAACAAAGTAAAGTATAGAAATCAATTATGCAATAACACACACGCAAAGATTTTCAAAGAAAACGGAAGCAGTGATTCTGGATTCCTTCCGAGAAATAAGAAG